CATAATTATTTATTTAGCTCGCTTTAGCACCACTACCACTATAACCATGACAGCCAAGCCCATTAATGAAGGCCCAAGAGCCTTATCCACCAAGCCACTGAACACATTTCCATTAGTATCTGCTGCTCCTTTATTGTTAGAATAACCCCCAAACAGTGTCTGAAAGTAATCAGACAAACTGTTCATCATATCAACGACTGTAAGCTTAAGCTCCAGCCAGAGCTCCATAAACCTTCCTGTGGAGTTGGATTCTCCGTACTCGGACTCAGCTCGATCGGATGGTACGCTCCTAGGAGATCTTGGCGAAAGAATATCACTATCAGCAGTGGAACCCTTTTCATATTGATCCGTAGTTGAGGAAGGAGCACCTGCCAACAAGAATGAAGTTAAGAATTTTTCCCCAAACTACCAAATAGCAGAGTAGAAGCAAAAGGGCCACATACTAATCTTACCCATCTTCTGTGAGTGGAGATAATCCTGAAGTGCCGGATTTAGCAGTACAGCATTCCAGACATTCGGATCTGATGCAATTGAAGCAACAACACTCTGAAGAAAAAAAAAAAAAGGCCAGATCCAACACATTATTTAGAGTAAATACGGGTCACCGGAAAAGCAACACCAACAAACTATGAATGGTACCATGACTGGTGAGCATAAACAGATAACCAAAATAAATCTGTCCCTAGGTTACCAGAGATTGCTAGTATCAATTTCAAATTTAGTTCTAGTAAGTGCACTGAAAAATTATCCACAACCACAAGGTTTAACCCAGCTGAACTCAAACACATACACAAAGGGGAAAGCAATCAATAATAAACAACAGGTCACCAAAGAATGTCATGTATATAGACAAATCAAGCTCAAAAAATACTAAAAAGATCCCGCATATCATTGTATCCTCCTTTCCAGGATACCTTCCCCTGCCTAAATGACACTAGAGAATTTCAATGCTGAAATGCTCTAGATATCTCCAGAACACAATATTGTGAACAAAAGGCGTAAAAAACAGATGCGCGTGCCAGTAGAGAATTTAAATGCTGAAATGTTGCTGATATATCTAAAACCAACATAGAGAATGTATCATGCAATATTTCACAGTCCATCAAATGTAGCAAAAATACAGTTGAAATTGAACCTGAACTGCAGGGCTTTCATTCAGAAACCTAAAAGCTTGAATTGCATGCTTTGGCGCAGGCGCAAGTATGGTCTCGCTGGTTACGCAAGCTTTGGTCTCTGGCACTTCTGACCTAGAAAGCCCTGACAACCCAGTTTTGGGTGTAGTGGATGCAGAAAGATATACCCTAACAATTAACAAAGGGCAACATATAAAATTCAGCATTTTTTAACTGTTAACTGTTTAATTGTAGCCTATCTAAAACAGAAGGAAAACAATACCATATTCTCGAACAAAACAACGCCAAGTTCTTTTCTTGGTTTTCGTTATCGTCGTTATCGTTGTTTATTGTGTAATCTATTGGAGTCTACCTAACTCAACAAACGTGAATATATAACTGTAATCAAGATTGAAAAATGATTACAGTGATAAAAAATCGGCCCAAGTTGACAATAACCAATAAAACAACTAGAACACTCGTGATACCAGCGAACTACTGTGCATAACGTAATCATAGGTCGCCCCAGAAAATAAATTAAGGGAAAAAACACTACAAGAAAGAAATCCAAAAACACCTTATCGGTAAAAAGAACTAACATTTTAACTTGAAACAGTCTCAAAAAATGTAAATAAATTTTCATATAAAGAGATAACAAAAACATGTAGATATGCATCGCAAGATCATAATTTTACGTGTATTTAATTCAATAAAATCAGATAAATTTCTTTTAAAAGGAGACAAGATTGAATCTTGGTACTTCTCAAGAGCTTCTTTGAGTTCATAAGTGGCCTCTTTGGCTTCGGCGAGACTTGGGGCACCACCAAACACAAGCCTCGGCGTCGACACACCGGAGCCGCCGAACAAATCCTCCTCACCTCCGGCCAACTCCCAATCATCAAATTCCCAGCAGGGCTTCTGCACTGGAGACACATCGATGGCGACGGCAGCCTCCTTCACGTTTTCAGGCGCAGAAGGGGAGGCCAAACCGGTGACTGGGCGCAAAACTTTCCGCATGGCCGTGGAGGCAGGGTGATCAGGCACAATTCCACGGAGACCGCCGTTGAGTACTCCAAAACCAGCGACTTTGGCCGCTGCTCTCATCGCTGCTCCGCCTCCCATGATTGAAAATGAAACCCGAATAGCCCAGAAAATGTAAAAGTAGAAAATTGGGAGCAAGGAAAAAAAAATCTGAAGAGATGAGGATCAGTTCTCCGGGCAAATGCTACCGAAGAAGGTGACGTTTAAAACATTGGAAGCTATCACGATTCGCCAATCACACACGTCAAAGCTGGAAGGAATTCAATTCCCTCACGTTAATTGACATTTTTGCCCTTGGCCTTCCAAGCGAAAGAAACTTCTCTCTCTCTCTTTTTTTTGGAAGAAGGAAACAAGGAATTAGCAAAATTAACAGTACAAAAAGGAGAAAATAATAAGCTTAATAATCTAAAATGGCATTCAAATATAATCAGAGACTAGAAAATAGAATCTAGGAATAAAATAGTTACTGGTTACTTCGAGCAAGAAAATAGCAATTAGTATAAGGGTAAAATTAAGGCAAACAATAACAAATCTTCCATGGGATCAAGTCAACTATAAGGGTAAAATTAAGGCCAACAATAACAATTCTTTTATTTTCTAGAGACATTCCAAAGAATCTAGGAATTTGCTGGGAGACTACGCAAGTATTACATACGCAATTTTCTCACAGAAGATCTTTATATGCATTAGGAAGTCATACAACAACTTTATTGAATAAAAGCAGATTTTGGTAATGTTTTTTTTGAGAAGCAAAACGAAATGAGACATGTGGATCAAAACATTCAATTTTTGTTTGATCTATTGAATGGTCAAAGATTTCATTTCTTTGGACTATGATATGAATTTCAAATCACAGCAGTTTGCACATTTAAACACGATTAGTTTGAAATCATTCTAGGAATTGATGGATGGATCTCACAAACAATTCTTCTCTTTTTTTTTTTTTTTTTGTCATCACTGGGGTATCCGGGCCTACACCCGACTAGTCCCACAGCGCCCCAGCAGAGCGGGCCCGACCGATGCTGAAGAATTTAACAGATGGGTGGCTGCTCGGGATCGAACCCAGGTGGAGCTCAACCAAGGGGCGTCCTTCCACCAGCAGACCACCCAGCGCGGGCACAAACAATTCTTCTCACGTAGGAAGATTTGGACTTGGAGCCTGGCTTCATGGGGACTGACAATGAAGCCTAAAACTGTTACTAATGCTCTCCATGATGATCAACTTGTGATAGGTCCACTATGATGGGCATAACTTCCCACATTTCGTGCAACTTTAATTGTGTAGCCCAACAGAACCCATTTTGCTGGTACTTTTCTCATTTTTTAGGTTGTGAGTTCTTTTGCCCTCTGCACTCTAATCAAAATAGACCCCCCAAAGCTTATAAGAGCGAATTTCTTCAAGCCAAAAAAAAGTATATAAATAAATCAATAAAAGGAAATTACTGTCGCAAAATTAATGAGTAGATAAGTGTAGATGTCTATTCATCTCCAAAATGATACAGTACATTGGAACATTTGTTTCCTAGAAAAAATTCATTCATGTACTTCTTGTGGTTTTTCAATTAGCTCATCTATGAAGGTGCTCGTTCATATATTTGAATTACTAAATTCACGTATTCGTGTTTTATTTTTAAGGCGACATATTTTTTGGGATATAAATTTTTGAAATACACTTGAAAAGATTTTATTTTTTATTCCAACGGACGGTGATTAATCCTTTTTAATTGGTCACTAAGCCAATTTCTGGTTTGCATAATCAGGCATACACGCTCCTAATTAATTTTGAATTGCAGTTTGAGAAGTCAAATAATCAACTTATGGGTTTTGCGTTTCGAGCTGAAAATATCTCAACCTGGTTATATTTTATATTTAATAGTTCTATACTTGCTGACAATATGACAATTCTTTTTCTTTTCTTTTTTTTTTTTGGGTGTTTCTTATGCAATTGCCGTGGTTATCGACTCGAACCAGATGATCGTGTTAAAGATGACAAAGGGACGTTACGGTTTCAATGGCCAATAAATAAGAGAAGGCAAATCAATCTTCCCAAACGTTTCTTCTTTATTAAGAAAAAAAAGTGTCATTGGAGAAAGAATCGATCATGCGACCACGAACAGTTGCCCCGTGATAGTAGTACCAGACCAGAAGCTAGAAATGAAGGCTGCTCATGGTTAGCCCCATGTTCATCCTGAAGTGTCGGATATACTTAGGAAAACATAAACACTCTGCTACTTCACCAGGTGGAAAAAGTATACACTCGACCGTAGGATATACTTAGGAAAGTGTGTTGACCATGAACATGACACAGTCAATAAATCCAAAGGCCCCGAGGACGACGGACAGTCATGATGCACGACACATCAGTAATTTCGAGTGGACCCACTTTCATGATGAGCTCCGGAGATGGGACACCATCACACGGCTTTTATTTTTTCGGGACGGCTCAAATGACAAAAATGGAATTAGCTACATGTATCAATCTTAACCATTTCATTGACAAAGTATTACCAAAAAAAAAAAATTTCAAAAAAGGAATCGAGCATCAAATAAACCAACATGAAGTCGAACGGCTTTGATCTAATGATTAAAATTAAATCCTCAGAATGTAATAAAATAACATGAAGTTGAGGAGGTTTTAATCGAATAAATAAGGTCGAAATCTCAAAACGAAATGAATAGTCTGATAATCTACTAGATTTTAGGTATGCACGACAACACTAATTGTTGTCAAATAAACTAGATTATTGTATTGTTTTAGAGGGGTAGGATGGTTTAACATAACGGAAGGAGCATAATAATATGTTGGCCGAAGAAGACCGGACATAGATTCTTTGCTTTGATATGATGTACTAAGCTAGAATTTGCTTTTCCTTTTTTCGGTTTTCTCCGGTCTATGAGATTATATATGTTATCAAACAAAAAGCAACTAAAAGTTAGAAGATTAGCGTTTAGCGCTTCTAATGTCATTGGAGATTTGATTCTTTACAGCCCTACCAACATGCAATACTACTAGTAACACAGCTAGTTAAACTATATATATATATTATGACCCAACTGAATAGTCATAGAGCTGCTAAAGCAAGAGTGGCATCTTTTATTTTTATCTCTGTGCTTCGAACCCGCCTTCCTTTCTTGTAATCTTCTTGAAAATACCTGCATAATCAAAAGAGAATTTAGAATCTATGGCCAATAAAAAATCGAAGGAAGATTACAAAAAAAAAAAATTGAAAGAAGATAAGAATCTGTGAACAGGTTTAGCTAGAGAAGATCGGGGTTTGAACCTTGGAAGTTATCATCTAAGGATAGTTTCCAACCGAATTAGAATTCTGGGATGAGTTGTCAAACCTTATCTTATCTGTGATGTTCTCCACAAATGACAAAACAGCATCAATTTAAGATTCATTTAAGCGTCGAAGACTTGATATCCTCAAAATCCAGTCCCACATATTTCTACCCAATAAAAGTCTAGGCCGTATATGCGGGGGCCCATAACAATTTCCCCACGATAAATGTACAATTAATTTATTTACTTCCCTTAATTGGTGGAAATAAATAAGTGCACATGCCTCGTAATTATGGAAACTGAAATGAAAATGAAGCAGCATTGGTATGTAAATAGAACAAAATTAATTCAAGTTATTTAAAAAAAAAAAAAGAAAATCAAGAATTCAACACTCGTAAAGATGAAAAACATTCCAAATTTTCTGCCTTTCGAATCTTTACTTTATAACACTTTCCTTATCAAAGAAAAAAACGAGAAGTCTTCTACCTATTGAGTAACTGAAAATTTAAAGGTCATGGAATTGGAAGTGACGTACAAAAAAGCGAATGTAACTTTTCATAAAGCAAAGGATCCCGTGTTAAACTTGTCCCATATGCTTACATGAGTAAGCTAAAATTCAACCCACAGCATCAATCAAAAGCAATTCTGAACGATATATATAGTCCAAAAGCTAAATTATCTATAGTGGAATTTTTCCTTGTACTGATCGAACAAGTGAAGAAGAAATTAGATATAGTCTTAGGCTACTCTCAGTAACTTAATGCTACGCGTCACAATGAGTTTGATCCTTAATCTCACACCCGCTCAATTAGGAACTATCGAACCAAGAAGGACAGCAAGAAAAACTTTAATAATTTTAAGATAATCACAGGGAAAGAGTTAGCGTAATTCATTAACTTGACGCGGCTTTTACTAGTCAACCCGGCCAGAAAAGGGAAGCAAGAAGGGAATTGAAAAGGAAAAAAACTCTGTAAAAAACAAAAGAGAAACTGAAACCGAGAACATGAAAGAAGATACAGCTCCCCCCCCCCCCCCCCCCAAAAAAAAAGAAAAGAAACAGATCGTTTCAAGCTAAAGTAACGATCAATGAAAAAGTAGTCAAGCTGAACTGGAAAAAAGAGCGAAGCTACACTGACCATCTTGTTTGCAGTCCGGTGGATCTTCAAAGAGGGAGAGAGAAAGCTGTTTATGAGCCAATCCAATGTCAAAAAGAATGAGACCAGACTTCGGATCATCAACAATGATATCTTTAACCGGCACCCACAGAAAAAGCTCTTCTTGAGAGAAGCCCTCAACTCCAGTGAGCCCTCCATAAGTAAGATTAGCCCTGACCACGCTTTCATAGAAAGCCATGGTATCAAACTTGGTTAGACAAGGGCCTTCGAGAAAAACTTCAAGGAGTCCATTCTCTGAAAGCGTGTACGACTTCACGTCCTTTGGGAGGAGTCCCGCTGGCAAGCCTCTGGTTTTGAGGAGGTCATGGATGGACAAGGGGTGAGAAGAAGGAAGAGAGATGAAGAGGACGAGGAATCCTAGGGAAACTAGAAAGCGATGTTGAGGGGAGTGAGCCATGAACGAACCAACCAACAAATGAAAGAAGGAAAGAGAATATTGTGTTTAAGAAAAGAAGTAAGAGAGATGGAGCCGGAAGGAGACGTTTTAGGGAAATATGGAGGGAGCTTGGAAGGTATATAGACTGTTTAAAAGAAACACTAAACGGGCTTATTAGTGATTTTACTTATTTGTCCTTGCTCGTGGGGACTTGAATACTGACTGGTGGTTGGCCTTGCATGTCAATTACATTTTTGGCTAGTAGGACCTGTAAATGCTAAATGGCCTTTAATCAATTTTGTGGGGACTTGGTGAGGGGGAGGGGGGACACTAGTCTTGATATTTTTGAACGACTTGTACATTTTTCATTATTACACATTTTTTGTACACTTTGCGGTACTGTATCTTGTTTTCAAAAGTTGTTCGGGTTTGGTAGATGAGTGAAGCTGATACTTTTAGTGCTTTTATAGATTTTAATTTGTAATTTCATGTGTTACTCAACTTTCTTAACATATGCATTGATATAATATCTATATGAAAGTGGCAATTGCCATGTGAAATCGTGAATTACTATATATTTGTAGAATTAGAGCTTGTCTCATTAATAATTGGTGCTTAATAGTGAAGAGGGGTTTTAAATAGAAGGAGTAGCAATCAAAGTAAGCGTATACATTTAAATCATAAATTGAGTAGATATAGGCAAATCCTTAGTATTATTACAAAGTTTCAAATAATAAATTTGACAAATGGAAATTATGATCCAAAATATCTCTGTCACTTATTGGCATTTTTGTAAGCTTAACGGTCACCAAGTCCCTTTTTGGACTGTAGGTCGGGAGTTCAAATCTCACATGTAATGAAAAAATCTAAAGGAAGTGTTAAAGTAGCTCTTTAATCTAATCAAGTCTATATATCTGTTTTTTTAAACTCTCATTCCCTGTAGAATGTAATAAATTATGTTATAAAAATATTATCGTTGCTGTTAAAAAAAAAAGTAAAGACTAGCATTTTTGCACATAATATGGCACTTGCTTTTGTCATTTTATATTGATGTGATTTACGAGTTTTATATTGCCTTTGCATCTTCATATTCAACTATTAAATACCTCAACGACAAATACTTGTTAATTGTTTGAAATGTTATTTTTTCTCAAAATATTTTAAGTGAATATATTTTTTAATTACTTTTTTTTCTCGTATACGTTGAATCGTTATAATACATTTTTTATTTAAAAAATTCAAAAAATAGCAAACCAAACGGGCTCTGATCCAATTTTGACCGGTGAATAGTAGTGCTCTACCAATCGTTCAGGCATAATACACTTTCATTAATAGCGCAATGAAACGCAAGTCGAAAAAGCCGCAGGATGAAAACTACGGGCAATAACCCAGAAAAACTAAAAGCAAATATTAGATCCAATGATAATAATATATTTTCTTTTAAGGCCAAAATTAACTTGATTCTCATCCTTCTTTGGTTTTGTTCCTCATGAGTTATAGCTCTTTTAGTTCATGAAAGTGGATAACCTTTTTTTTTTTTTTTGATATTAAGTGGATAACTAACTTTTTTTTATATATATATATTCAGTTATAGCTCTTTGGTTTTTTTTGATATCAGTTCATGCAAGTGGATAACTAACTGATCATTTCCTGGGCTTTGACTTAGTAATCCAGCAAAAGAAGTACTTACAATAAAATAAACTAGCAGGGTTGGTGAGAATATTTTATCCTGATCATATAACAGCTGAACGAGATAAATTTATGCTTCAAGTTATTTTCGGCTAACATATGTGTACTTTTATGTATGCAAATTATTTAAAACATTCAAAAACTTCACTACCAAATGTGTGTGCACTTTCGTCAAAAAAAGTGAAGTGAGAGAGTATTTGGTGCAAATCCCACAAAGAGTTACCAAATTTTGAAAGATTAAAATCCCAATTATGCGTATAAATCCTAAATTGTAAATTAATTAAGCTCTAGTCTACCCGTGCTACGTACAGTCATAAGAAATGTTATGAAAATATAAAAAAAAAATAGCTACGAGAATTCATAACACAATAATCTAATTTAGTATAATTTAGTCTATTTGAATATGAAATTCAGTTTTTGCACACATGTCATAAATTTAACGATGATAGTGTATACATTATAAGTGTAGAAAAGATTTATTCTTAAAGTATTTAAACGAAAGAAATCGAAAGGCAGTTATCTGAAGCTAAACCTGAAAAAAGAATGGCGAAGAGAGCGTGGAAACTTACGATGAGAATGAGATTCGACAATTATCAATTATGGAGACACCGGTCAATCGACGGCAGCTGATCGTGTTGGGATGAACAAATAAAACAGTAGTATTAATTATATTATTGAGAATCTCGGGGATTTGAATTTTGTCGTAGAAAGTGACAATTCAAAAAAGCCACTGAGGTGAAAAATCGATATAAAAAGTTTAACTTCATATCAATTAATACGGAATCCGAAATTAATATGTTACAGTAAATGAAGTCAGCATTGTTAAAGTGCTTCATCCCAAATGAAGATAATATCAATCAGACTTAACTTTAAAAAAAAAAAAAAAAAAAAGAAAAGGGGAAAGGCTAGAGTCAAGAAAGTCCGAAAGGTGAAAGAAATTCATCATCACAATTGAAGGAGAGAAGATATACCATGGATCACGAACTTTATTGATGCATCTCCATGTTTTTATTTTCCGCAACATACAAGTCTCAGTTTAAGGATTAAGGACTCTACATCAAATCAATAGATGTATACACAAGAACAATAATTGTAGAACAACGATTGTTTTGGTTGCATTGTTAATTTAGAGCTGTGTACAAAACTCAATTACAACCATTAAATTCAAAAGAATATACGATTTATACCCTGAATTGCACTTTGCAATTATACTTTCCATTTAAGAGACCCTTATTATATGTGTGAACATACACACACATACATGTGTATATACACATTTCATACGAAGATTTTCTAACTAGTGTGAAATGTGAATGCATATTGGTCGGCAGACATGATACACAATTCTGCATCCTAAATGCACTATTTCATATTAATTGTCCCCCTGTCTTTGGACTTTTCTTTTTTTTTTTTTTCCTATTCAACTTCAGAAGCTCCTCTTCAGCATCCACCGAGGATGTACACCCATTTACACGAATTTTATTTTGGTCTGTTTTTAGATTTTATTGAAACATATTTATATATAAGTGCTTAAACCCCGTGATTTATAAGTATACGAAGGTCGTAATATGTGCTAGAAATATTTCTCATTTAAAAGAGCATTCAGATTTGGAACAAGGGGGGAAAAAATAAAGGAAGAACAAATAAAATCTTGTGAACGGCAAGATTGTCATTTAGTGATCTACTTTTCTCCAATACTATTGTATATTCCACTAGTATTCGGCAGACGTAACTCTGGGAGACAATCCGATGCGTTTGGACAAAAAAAAAAAAAAAAGGGCAGCCAAAAAGAGTCAATTGCCGTTTGAGAAAAAAAAAAAAAGAAGAGTCAATTGCCGTTTACCATTTCTGCCACTGACGAGAGGATAAGAGCTGGAATGGGTATAGCAGTAAGCAGCGTCCCGGGGAGAGAAGCTTTAATGGGCAATTATCAGCCAAAGCCGCGCGGGACCTATATATGCTTTGTGCGACCGCTTATCTATGTAGTAAGTATGATTTGAGACATGGATGGGGTGGGATTGGGCCGGCCAATTGAACTGAAAGAAACGGGACAATTTGGTTAAAAACGCAGCATTAGGTCGCCGACTTGCATCAGCAATTTTTGATTACATGCTAGTACATTGCTCAGTCTATGATAATTAAACGATGAGATAGTGAGCAGGGATTAGCCTACCCATGGGATGAATTTTGGCTTCTTGGATGGGAGGGGAATTGAGAGATCCGGGAGTGACTCAGAATTTGATTTTAGAATGCATGGGATTTTGATATTCAACACTTTTTGCATACAAGAAGAAATTTTGTCAGTTGGTGTAGCAGATTTTAGCTTGTATTTAGCCAGTATAGTTTCTGCATATTTTTAAAAAATTTTCTTTTACGCGGACTAGTAAAATTGATCTATATTGCCTAAGAATGGAAATATTTTGAAGCAAAAAACACTAGTAGTACGATCAATCTATTTGAAGGAATGCCGTTGATCAATTTTAATCGAAGTTTAGCTAGTAATGGAAAATCGTTCAAAACGTCCCTCATATTTTGTAAAATAACTTTTCTCATTCCTCACTTTTAAAAATGTAATTTTACATCCCTTATAAATTTACATTGGTCAAATTTGGTCCCTACTTAAGTTTCGAACTAATTTTTTGCTCGAATTCACCACGTGGCAAAATTGTCAAATCAAATTTTATATAATCTGATCTATAGTCCCTTACATTTCACAAAATGAATTGTTTCGTCCTTCATATTTCACAAAATAATTTTTTCATCCCTCATATTTAACAAAATGAATTTTTTTATCCCTCATTGATCATGTGTATGAATAGTTTTTTTATAAAAAATTTACATATATATCTATTTGATTTCATCTGAACAGTACGAATAACATATAATATATCTCTATTTGATTTCATCTAAACAGACTAATTGTAGTTCTACACATGTTATTCAATAGATATATACATGAGTTTAAATCTAACAATTTTATTTTAAACCCATATATATCTATATTTGATTTCATCATGTGAATCTATTCAATATTTGTGGCATTTTCTCTTTTCGTAATAATTCGTTTATTGAGTTGTGTAATAAGACCATCTAATTAATTGGTTTCAATTCGAATTCTATAGTCATGTTAACAAATTACAGTTTAAATCTGAAATTTCTACTAGCTACCTTTAAGACCAACAATTGAATTTTTTGTCTTGTGATTGTTTTAAAATTTGAAAGTGACAATCTCTTACTTCTTTTTGTCATACTTTTTATTTGTTTATTTTTTCTGTCCAAATTTAATTTAATATAAATACTTGATAATGTTTAGAATTAAATGTCTTCTTTGTTTTCAACGTTTAAGTAAAAAGAAATGAATATGAGTGAAAAACTAACAATTTTTTAAACCCATGTATATATGCGTTTAATTTCACTTGAACAGTACGTTTAGACGAAATCAAATAGAGATATATTGCATGCTATTCGTATTGTTCAGATAAAATTAAATAGATATATATATGAGTTTAAAAAAAAGTTATTCATACCCGTGATTAATGAGGGCTGAAAAAATTATTTTATAAAATGTGATGGACGAAAAAATTTAATTTGTGAAATGTGAGGGATTATGGATCGGATTATTTAACTTTTAAAAATGATCACGTGTAAGGCATGTGGTGGATTCCAACAAAAAACTAGTTGAAAATCTAAGTAGGGATCAAATTTGACCAATGTGAATTTGTAAGGGATGTAAAAGTACACTTTTAAAAGTGAGGGAAGAATAAAGTCATTTTATAAAATGTGAAGGACGTTTTGAATAATTTTTTCTAATTTTAAGATAAAGTAGAAAGATTGAACAATTAATCGAAAAAGAGTAAACCTTTGGTTCATAGGATTCTTTGATGCAAAAAGAGAGAAAATATTCGAGATGTAGTATCTACATCATGGGGCTACTGCACCATATTATGCTGTATGACACGTACGCTGGTATTTGGTCTGAGAAAAAGATTTAGCACAAGAACTATGAAAGATCGTCCTCGCCCAAATAGTGGCTGATGTCTGAAGCCTTATAATGACATAATTTGCCGATGGAAGATGCAAGACGAAAAAGCATATATTATTATTATTATTGAAAAAGCATATATTATTATTATTATTATTATTTGCCTTTGACCAGGGCCATAGACAGGGCTCTCCTTACCCTTTATCGGATGGCATGCAGCGGCGTGTCCCTGCTACTGATGAGACCCTTTACCAGCTACCACTTCCATTCTAATGTCTTTATTCACAAAGTCGTAGCCTGCTGGTCGATCACGAGTTCGTTTCTCCAAAAAAATAAAAAAATAAAAAAATCTCAAGAGTGTGAACTGGGATAGATGATTACTAATTCACATGCATGCAGATCATGTAATGTTCGGTAGTCAAGCCTAAACTGATAAGACTCGGTTCGTACAAAACTCAGATGCAATCGCCGTCAAGTTTAACTGTTGCTTTGAACGTTAACGCGACAACATTATTGATTTTCCATATTCTACATTTGTCGCTGATTCATCATCAGACCGTTTAATTATCAGTCGGCATGAAACGTTAATTCATGATAACAGAGAAAAAGGTGGAAAAAGAGAACCCAAAAATTAAAAATTTAAAAAAAAAATAAAAAATCGGGGATGAATCCATAGTACGAGGGCCACGTTCTATGGCTGAGCTTTGGACTCAGATAGGTGACAATTTTCAGCATTATTTTTCAGCTTCAAAACCTTCTGCTTCGCTTTGATCCACAACTTCTTTGCCCTGTGGGATGCATTTATTTTGAAGGTGTAACTTCGAACAAATTTCTGCCTTCTAATGTAGTTCTGGTCGCAACACATGATTAATTTTTTTGTAGGGCTATTCCTGACGGGAGAAAAAGGGGATGAGCACTCCAACTTGCTTTGGTGACCCAATTTCTTCTCCAAGAATTCTCTATCGGATTGAAAAGTCCAGGGATGATGACGATCAAGCTTTATAGCTCCATCCGTAACGGGAGCTTCGGCGGCTAAACCCCCTGCAGCCATGTAATTCGAGCACATCATCTTCTAGTTTACTTCTTCCAGGCTTTACGGGATGGATGGATGGATCAATGATTGTCTCCTTGATTAGTTTGTTCTCATGATTTGCTTGTTTGGAGAATTGTGGACTAGCTAGTTCCTTAATTATACAAGTGATCATCCCTAATTGGATTTGGAATCGTTCTTAGAATAGGACAGGGAATGTTTCCTAATCCTTGTAAACCTGGGCTACCTATAACTGGGAGGAAAATTTAAATAATAAATTTGTTAACATGAATTACTAGATGTGTATTTGCTCCTGAGGAGTACCGTACAAAGAGTATAACTTGAATTACTGGATGTGTTTTTTATTATGAGGTGATTAAAATAATGCCATTGCAAATTGCTAAAACTTTTAATTCTTAATTCTAACCCGACATCTCAACTATACCAATTTGACAAATCAGAAAAATAAAATACCACCCACATACATTCGAAATAATGAAATTTTGTGTACGTTTGTAGTTCATCATGGTTACACTTCTAAACTCTAATTGATGCAGGTTTATGTACTGTTTCATTCCTTCTCCTGCAAGGTAGGCAAGAAGATAAGTGAGATGTGACTCAAAATAAAAAAAAATATATATGAAATAATTTGTTACATTTTTCCGCTGCCAGACTTCAACCTGGATTCCTTTTTAAATACTTTTTTTATTTTTGTTGATAATATATCATAGCTTCAGTAAATCTGCATTAGTGATAAAAAATGAATCATAATGCAATAGATTTGAAACACAATAACAGATACTACATATCTAGAGAATTGATAAAAATTACAATGTGAAGTTCTTTCGGTACTAAAAAACACTTGTAGCCTCAAAGTGCTTAAATACTTAGGAATAACCAAGTGCTGCAGCTGACGTTTTCGATATAATCTTATTAGAAAATTATGTACCTATTAATTAAAAAAAATTATGAAAGTTACACCTTAACTTTCAAAGATAGGACAAAATCCTAATTAATACTCAGTTGGGATCCTCTATGCCACTATTCGATCCAGTGCCAATCCCACTTATCACGTGATGGTAGAAGAAATTTAAATAAACAGCACATGACAACTTAAATAAACAGGACACTTGGCATAAATACAGAAGTGACACTGAGGATCCCGCGTGATTAATACTAGGCCTGATCTTGTATTATATTTAGCGGCATTGAATGCATACAACATGTGCAAGAATTAAAGATCAAATTCAAATTGGATCAGGTGACATGCATCCATATCTATTAATGTGCAGTTACTATATACAAAATTAACTCTTAAAACTATGTGCATCGAATTGGCATAATATTAATCTTAGTGTGCGTGTCATTATTGCACAGGGCTATGCTAATATTCTCTGTGTGATTCCAATTTTATCCGATGTCCCCGAACGGACTTAATCCTAGTGATTGTATACATATTCCCACGAACGTCTCTATCATGTTAAAAAGCCCAGGGATGAAGCCTCAATGTCTCTAACTGATTAATTGTGATTAAAAAGCTATTCACATTTTGTCTCAAATCGGACGTAAACTTTTCCCAGTAGACGTAATCTTCAAGTTGTTAAACAGCATTCCTTTTATTTTTTTTAAACATTCTTGTTTTGAGTTAACAGTTTGGATACAAAATTTATCCCAAATAATATTTCGCTTGCATCATAAACACATTTTCTAACCCACCTTTTTATATTCCCAACCACATTTTTATCTCACATACATCACATCACAAAAAGTGCTACAGTAATTATTCCAAATAATATTTCAAATAATACCCTATCCAAACAAAACTATTATATTAATATAGTCATCATGTATTATCGTTTATGAAAAGGATCTTACAAGCGTCGTGCTGAAAATTCGTCTCTCTAACTCTGCATCTTATTGTGCAAGGGGCATAATCTAGTTCAGGAGATCAATAGTGGCGGCTGCTACGTGATGGAATATTCCTGTGGCTGTGGGTCAATTTTGGAAGAATTGGACCATTATTTGATGCTAGCTTGGGAGATTCGAATTGTTTATCGAGGCTCTAAGATTGTAATAGTCATATCATTTTGTGAGCTAGCAACACAGGCGGCAGAACAAGATTCATTTCTTTCCGCGAAAAAACCAGGCTGATGAGCTTGAGGAAGAGCCCCTTCATTACCTAACATCATAACCACAGCAGACATGTTGGGTCTATCTTCTGGATATTGTTGAACACACAACAGACCAACATGGATTGATCGTAATACATCTGTTAAACCAGTGGAGTAGTTTCCTAGGCTCTCGTCAACTAGTTCCAATGACCTTCCTTCTTTGTATAGTTTCCACGCCTGCACAACGAAATCGGATTAGGAGACTTACAATTTCATGCTTAGCGCACAGAAACACCTACGATAATTATAGATTACCAATGCAAAACTCACATGGCCTAGAAGGCTGTGGTGGTGACCAGGGTGGACAAATGCATTATTTTTCTGACCACTGACAATCTCAAGTATTGTCACTCCAAAACTAAATACATCAGATTTTACTGAAAAACGGCCTTGCATTGCATACTCTGGTGACATGTAGCCACTGCATCAAGAAAGCAAAAAATCAAGACTAAGTGGTGATAGAAGTAGAAATGATCAATTTATGAAGTTTTTCATGGATATGCTTACTATGTTCCAGCTACTCGGTCTGTCCTAGCTCCAGTCTCATTACCTATGAAACTTCTAGCCGTTCCAAAATCTGATATCTTTGGGTTCATTGTGTCATCTAGCAAAATGTTGCTAGCCTTTAGGTCTCTATGGATAATTCTCAGTCGTGAATCTTCATGAAGATATAAAAGTCCCCGAGCTATACCATTAATTATGTTGAATCGCTGAGGCCAATCAAGCAATCTGCTTCGTGCTGGATCTGCACCAAGTTTAGGTCTTTCTTATTCTGACTCCAAAAAAACATGCTTGAATGGGCAAGGAAAGGATCTCAAATCAATCAAATGACTCGATCCTTGGAGATTACGGTGAATCGCCAGCACCGTGTTATTAAAGTACTAACAAGGGGGCAAAGAGGAATGGTTAGTTTAAGCTGAATTAAGTTGGAAGATAGTTCGAAGCGGTACCAAATATAAAGGAATCCAGGCTTCGGTTGTGCATGAATTCATATATCAGCATCTTTTCTTCTCCCTGAATGCAGCAACCTAACATTTTAACAAGATTTCGATGTTGGAGCTTGGTGATGTATATAACTTCGTTCTTGAACTCATCAAGCCCTTGAGTGGAAGTTTTTGAAAGTCGCTTCACTGCTATCTCCTGTCCATCTTCTAACACGCCCTGAGATTACAAGTTGTGCATCTCAGAATACTTCCTTTGCAATATTCCAATTAATGCAGCACCCTATTTTAGTTCCACATGAATTTTTTGAACAACAAAGTCAATATGCTACTGAGGGCGTTCTGCTTTCTCCGTGCACTTAGAATCTTTTAAAACTCACATGATGAGCACAAGAAGAAGAAGGGGGTCAAATTTGACAGATATTAGCATGCAGACGAAGCGATCTACATATAGTTAAAGAAGCTAGTCAAGATTCATGGTCTTCCATCTGATGTTGGTAAGAACTTGGTATTAATTGAAGGACGAAGATCCCAAGATTGCATTATATAGTTACCTTGTAGACCGGCCCAAATCCACCCTCTCCAAGCTTATTACTGGGTGAAAAGTTACTAGTAGCTTGAATTAGCGTGTCTAAATCAAAGAGCACCAGTTCTTCATCCTCGTAATCCTCTAACTTCCTTCCTGCAGATGAACAGTGAATTGTTTATTTGAGGAACCTTTATAAGGATGGTGTCAGTTCACTTTTAGTTGACACAATATATCAATCTGCTTACCTTCTTTTTTCTGCTTCAAATACTTCTTCCGTTTGCGATATAGTGTAAGGCTAAGGCCTAAAAGAAGCACTCCGCTCGATAGTGATACACCAACTATACGTGTTACTCTTGTCCTCCAGCTAAAGCCGTTGCGAGATACTGCCAAAAGCCAGAAGAAAAAAATGAAAATTGTATTTGCAGGATATTCTCAAAAGTAAACAAGCACAGATATTCCTTCTAAAGCCTATAGGCTGACAACTGTTGCCACTTTCCTTGCCTATTTCTATAATATTCATAATTTTGTTCTTTGTCCAAATTAGCCTACTTTCTTGTAGATAGAACTATACTCTGAACATGTTGTCGATTACCCTCATCTAGACATCTAGCGGTACATCTTATTCTATTGTATTACTTCTGTTAACTTTTGGTTTTCAAAAAGTATGAATTGACTTTTATTACTTTCTTAATCAAAAGCATCACCTAATTCAGTTGAAGCCAGCCTAATGTAGACATCTTGCCCTTGAGAATTCTCTCTGATGTCAATGAGCTGTTCAAACCAAAGCAAGCAGCCGCTTCCTCCATCACGTGCATCTGGATTTGCATAAGCCGTACAAGAGCAATTCTTCAAGCAGAGAGTCTTGCAATCTTCAAGAGCCATATCTCCACTGTACCAGGTATTTTTTGTTTCTGGAAACGTAAAAACAGAATACTTCAAGAAACCGTTTTCATCTCCGTTCTCGCAATTCAGGGGCGTCCTCCTGATACACCCACCTGACCAATCTTTCTTAACCCATCGATGAGGATATTTTGGTTGAAATCCTTCCAAACATCCACATATTGGATCATTTGCAATATTGCAAGCACCATATGGTCCGCACAGTCCATAAGAATCACAGGTATTATTTGGTATATTAAAGTGAAGGACCCAACCTTCTCTTTCATCATCGAACAATAACCAATTCTGTGCAACACCACTTTGATTTAATACAAACCTTGAAGCAAAAGAATTCAGGAGTTGATAGCTGAAATACAACTCTCTCTGGTTATAAACTAGAGCAAACGAGTATACAGGATTTTTCCCAGTATTTGGAGCCCCACTATAATCCACAGTTTCAATGCCAGTCCAAGGTAATCCTCGACTTATCACAATAGGGCCCTTTCTCAGCACGTGTTCCGCATATCCAGTAATATCTGTGCGATATGTAAACTCGCCAGGTGCTGGATCATTCTCGTTCTTCCAAGATGTCAGATAGAACTCCTGGCCGGTTTCCAAGTTCCAACCAAGCTTCATGCCAGGTAAAAGTGTATCAGTTGGATGATCGAAACTCTGCCAGAGAAAATTATCCGAATTTTCATCGTCCGAATCTTTCAGGATAAAATTCCCAGAATCTAAAAGCTGAGCAAACGGATTCTGCACAGGTCTGGACAAATTTGTAGACCAGATGATGTTATTAGCATAATCTAAAAGAATCAACTGTCCGGACTTAGCAACCTTCAAGATACCTGATGCATTGGTAAGTGGAGCCCCTCTGTTGGCAACCCATACCACGGTTGTGGAAGATATGTTGTTATACCGTATACCTACGTATCGGCTGCTGGAATTGCCTGGGCTGAAAAATCCCAGTTCAAAATTTCCACCTGAGGAAGTGATGGTTTCACCATCTCGGAGTGGTTCAATGGTGGTTATTGTGTCAACTGCATTGCAAACGTGTGATCTGCAGAGTACTAGAATAAAGGAGAAGAAGAGGAAGGGAAATCTTTCCGACTCTCTTCTCAACTTGATTCTTGGTGGAAATTGAAAGAACATAACATATCCTTTCTGTTTGTGGCTCATCTTTATAATGAGATTGAGCACGTATAAGATATAGGACACTTTGAGAATAGCTCCTTCTCTCACAATTTCTTTGCTTAGGGAGAAGTACTTGTGGTTATCTACAAAAAGTTTTGGAATCAAAATCACATCTTTAAATAGCAACTGTGAAGTGGAATTTTGTGGAAAAATATTTTATCATGCATGCAGGACCAGAGTTATGGATAAATGCTTTTTTCACAGGAGCAAGACTTTTCCCCGAGTCATATAAGAATTTCAGCCCTGAGAGATTTACGTAAAGGTTGTTGCATGCCCGGGGTGTCAGGCGCAGCCGATAGATTTGAAGCTTTAAGCAGAATGAATTCGGGGTCGATATTGCTGCGGGCTGCCGCCTGATTAGAATGCTAACGGTGAGACTTCTCATTTTGGAATGATGTCCTAATTCAGGGTATTGAATTCCTTTCTGCTCCTCCCCCCTCCAAGTGTATATATATTATATTAGCCTATGCATGCTTTTGAAGATTCGACGAGAAATATTTCCTGTATACAGTCTATGGATGCTTTGAAGATTGACGGGGATATATAATTTCGATTTCTTTTTCTAATGTAGATATTTAACGTTAAAATTCTAGATATTGTGTCAAGCGTTCTAGCTCTTTGGTATGAAACCTCCTTGTCACACATCTCCAGCTCAAAGAAATTAGATAAAAACTACCTCTATGGGACGGAATATCCTGAAATCTATTACTATCTAACATGTTTTGTAGTTGAATTTCTACTTGACTTTGGTCTTGAATTATATCAAATTCCTGCTAGCTGTTGGAGTAATTGTGTTAGTTTTGATGTTTCTACGTTTCTATCGAGCACCAATTACGTACTTTTAGTTTCTGATGATTTAGTCATCCGACTCTGTTATTCTTCTTTCTGCCTCCTTGCATGAAAAGCACTATATTTATATATGCTTGAGATAATCTTCCATTCCGTTGCACAATACTTATCCCACCACATTTGGCTTTGCTGTGGCAGTGTTCTGCTTTAAAAAAATTCAGAGAGTACTATATTTGAAGCCTCTTCAGTCAAAACCAAGATTACGTACGTCCTAATTCTCAAAATTTCCTTATACATATTACTGAAGTTTTATCGACTTCATAGTTGTTCGGTTTTCATATCTCTTTTTTTTTTTTTTTTTTTTTCTTGAAAAATATGAAAGAGTCAAACTAGGAACCGTGATTTGAATTTTAGCCCACAACTTTTTAATTTGAGGGCTTCATTCTAACCCGAAAAGTAGAGAAAACAGTGAACTTTTGAGTGCCAAAAATCTATACAAAAATAGAAGTTGAGATAAAACTGGGACGCAGTCCCGCAGGAGGCATGAGAATGGATACCAGTGTTTGTTTCTTCTTCTTCTTCTTTTTTTTTTTTTTAACTAACATTTTGTAATGTGGTTTGGCAGAAATATGTATAATAACATTAATTCATAAAGGCTTGTGAAATAAAGTGAAAATTGAATGCGTGAAGAATAATAATTTGGAATTATAGCTGGTAAAATAAAAAATGAAATTTGACGGTGTGATAATGAACGAAGAAATGAAGCGCCATAAAATTTCTTCTTGAATGTTGCTGATTATGATTGATCAATTTAATGTATAAAAGTGTAATGCTCTTTTTAAAAAAAAAAAAATGTTGTGAAGTAATTCTAATTGCTGAAAGACCAATTACTTGTTTTGATTTATCTACTTAATAAGCGGCATATTAGTCGTGTTAAAGTATATTTAATAGGAAGGCATGCATAGGAAATAAGAAAACATAAAGCAGTTTTAATTGTAGAAAAGGAAAATTAGAAAGTCGACAAAAGCAACTAAAATGGGCTGCACTCAGAACCTAAAAGCTGAAGATGCACGAAAGAAAATGGGCCACAACACAACACAACTAAAGGGCAGATGGGTAAATAGTGAGGTACCACAAGGTAGTCCAGCTATGAAGCAAAATGTTACCATAAAAGATTGTTATGGAAATACATCCCCTCAGGTGGACCTGGATTTCATTTATTTTCAAGACAAATGTCTGAATTAACAAACATTATTCTGGTTGCTTCCTCTTGGCAGCAGGTTGGAAGCAGACCTAGCTAGGCCCACATAGGAAATGGACTGAGAGATCTCTTGGGCTCTCTTAAATTGGGCTTAGAGCAACTCAGTTCGCCGCGCGAATTTCGTAGCTATAACAACGTAGGAGTAAATAATAGGCAGTCAATCGCATTAATTAATAATTTAATACCTAAATTTGTGGATATAAGTCTATGTGATGGAGAACATAGCATACCATACCAGCTGATAACATACTTCCTTTTATCAATCTCCCAATAAAGAATTTATTTTCATTTCCATTTCATGTAATAATTAATATTTAATATTACCATCAGTTTACAAAATTGAAATCTTTTGGTAAACACACCATTACGGCTCGAAAGTAGGGGGTGTAAGGCGTCAAATCTAGGTGCCTTTGAGAGCACGGTTGACCTAGCAAAAATAGTTCTAAAAACCATTCCAAATCTCCACTAAACCTATTTACAACACTAATCTCCACTCCCTAAACAAAAAAAAAAAAGAAAAAAGAACTGATATCCACTTAATTTTTTAAAAAATATGGCCATTTCCAGCTATCTTAATTGGACTGAGACTTACTACTATTTTGTCTTAAATTTTTTTTTTGGAACCCAGAAATCTAAACTTTCAATAGTAACTCTCTATTTTTCTCATGCACAGAGATGAAGTATGGAGTATTTTCATAGTATGCTGAAGATGGTAACTTCAAAGTCATAAACACACATACAGCTCTCTGAAAAGTTACTATTTTATATCGTTAGGAATTTTAAAAATTGAAAAAAATAGTAAATAATAGTTATCTGTCATTTTGTTTGGGAAGATAATAGTACTAATTAAGAGTAGCCAGTCTATAAAGGTAACTGTTCATTTTGTTTGGACAGTGCTTTTATTCCAAATAATATTTCACTTGCATCATAAACACATTTTTCAACCTAATTTTTTATATTCTCAATCACCTTTTTATCTCACATACATCACATCACAAAAAGTGCTACAGTAATTATTTCAAATAATACACAATTCAAACAAACATATTTTCCATCTTATCTTTATTAAAAAAAAAAAAAAAGCTCGTGCAGCACTAATTGAGGTAAATACAGGATGTACGGCCTGGATTGGGGTGGTTGGTGGGCGGTGGACAAGTTCGATCGTTCTTCCTCCTACTGCTGCTGCGGTCAAATGTCTGACACGGCAGTACCAGCAAATATTAGCATCACCAATAGGCAATAGCCCAGGTAAGTAATTAATAAAACGCCGGAAAGCCAATAACAAAACCAAAAAAGAAAAAATATGTGACAGGTGTCGAGCCTGTGCAATAATAATTACCTACTCAAAAAAAATATAGATTTTGTATATAGTGATAAGTAGAGTCGAATCCACAAGGATTGGGGAGAAATTTGTCTCCTTTAGAGTCAAGATAAATGGGGGGTTTTAGGATTAAATGCTAATGAACTAAATAAATCAATTGCGAAAATAATTTAATTAACAAAAATAATTAGGAAAACTCTAGCTAAAGATACACTTCAGAAATGGTTCATGCACTTATCATTGATTCATAGATAATTCAAACATTTTATTAATAGATTGGTTATAACTGTCATACACGCGATAAACAACCAACATTTCCTTAATTTCTCGACAGTTAAGGTACGACTGTTAACTATTTCTCTAACTCGAAAACAATCCTAGGTACGACCGTATAATTTAATTTCTAGATTACATTAATAATTAGAAAGGCTCAATCCTAACTAACAAACACGCTACGAGGGTTTGTTTAAATTAGATCGTATGTTTCCCTAACATAAACCCAATTATGCCAGTTGCTACCAGGACAGAGGTAATCGAACAATTACGGATTCAACTACCCCTAATTAGCAAATAACTTACATGAATAATTAAATGTTGCGCACCTATTTAATCATACACGATAGCTATACCAATAATTAAAAGCAAAAAACACACAAATACCAACAAATGAAGGAAGTAGTTAAAATAATTCAGATCTCACAGTTATTATTTATTGAAACAAATCTTCAGTTGTCCCTTTGACTAGAAAACAAGATTAGTTACTATCCATTGAGAGTAACTCACGCAAGTCCCCTCCATGAAATTGCGTCAATGTTCGATAGTAAAAGAACTACTTCGCGGCGCAGAGAGCCAAGCGGCCGCCTCCTTCTCTTTTCTTATTCCCTGGCCAAGTAGTAATAACGTGAGATCCCTAGCCGAGTACTGATCCCTAGCCGAGTCCTCATCCGGCGGGATCCGGCTTTTTTTCTCTTATTTGCTTTGTTTCCTATCAAGTACTAATATCTTGGCCTCCACTAACTAAAGGCCCGCAAAAGAATTAAAACTCTAATTATAATTGAAAAAGGGAAATCTTCTAAAAAATAATGCTAATTATTCCCTAATAAAACATCTAATAAAAGGTGACAGTTTCCTAATCTTCAACCAATGCTCCACGTAGACTCCGTCTTGAATTGGAACACTTGCACTTGACAATCACTCCAAGAAAATTACCTCTTTTTAGCACTTTTTACTCCAATGCCCTGCAATTAATAAAAGGGATAATTTCAGAAACCTCCCCTGAGGTTTCTGACATTTACACTCACCTCCCCTGTGGTTTGAACAATTACACTGACCTCCCCTGAGGTTACTAATCCTTTACAAATTCAGTCCAAATGATTAAAATATTATTTTAGAGAGTGAAATTAGAATTTTGTACCTGATTTGTCATTTATGATACATGTCCAATGAATGACAAAGTATTACAAATTAATTAATAATTAATAAACTTAAGGAGCGTAGTTTATAGGCAAATACGTATTACTTATTTAAAGTACCAGCTCTTTACGGATATTTTACTTTCAAACATTTACTTTATTACAAATATTTATTCTCAAATACAGATTTGTATTTACTCTCAAATATTTAATTTTCGTTAAATAAAAAACCTACCAGTTTTTCTTCCGTAGAAATATTAATATAACACTTTTTTAATTTTAGTTATAAATATTTATGTATTTCGCATAAATTAAATGATTCAGGATAAAATACTTATAAAGAGCTAATACTTTACTCATGTAATGGATGAAAATCATAAAAAATTAATACTTTATGGGCCATTTCTTTTTTTAAAAAATATTTAATTTATATCAAATAGATAACCTACTGATTTTCTTTTTGCAAGAATATTACTGTAACATTTTTTAATTTTTAATTACAAACGTTAATATATTTATCATAAATTAAATATTTGAAAGTAAAATATCTGTAAAGAGCGGGTACTTTAAATAGGTTATGTGTATTTGCCTATAAACTACACTCCTTAAAATTTATTAATTATTAATTAATTTGTAATACTTTGTCATTCATTGGACATGTAGCACAAAGGACAAATCAGGTACAAAATTCTAATTTTACTCTCTAAAACAATATTTTAATCATTTGGACT